GGGGTGTGGCTCAGTGGTAGAGCCCCTGCCTAGAATCCCCCAGTGAGGGGCTGGGGTGTGGCTCAGTGGGAGAAGGTGTACCTAGCATATAGAAACCCTAGGTTCAATCCTCGGCACCACCCAAGAACAAAAAGGGAACATGGCGGTTGGCGCTCAGGTCTCTATCGACCGGGCACTGCTGTGGTACCCAGTCAGGGGCTCTCCCACTGTGATTTCATTGACACAGAGCTGCAAAGTTCCCTGACTTCCCACCTTGGAAGACCCTTGGGCAGGTAAGAAAACTGACTCCCATAGGGCCTAGTGAATCACCCAGGTCACTCAGGTAGAGTGGCTGAACTATCCAAGGTGGCAACAGCCTGGTCAGACTTACAGAAGCCAAGGATGGTGTTATAGCCCTGATCTCAGATCTCAGAGGAAGGAGGGCCTTGAGTTGCAGGCCATAGTGAGGCCTTTTCCAAGGAAAGAAGGGACTCATAGAAAAGCACCCAAAAAAAAAAAAATTTTTTTTTTCTTGTGTATTTGTTTTGGAGGGGAGCACACGTGTACGGAGGTCAGAGGTCAGAGGTCATCTCTTGAGAGTCTATTCTTTCCTTCTCCCTTGTGGTTTCTGGGTCTCAGGCTTGGTGGCCAGGGCCTCTGTCCACTGAGCCATCTCACCAGCCCCAGTCACACACACTAGATGACGACTTAAACCAATTCAATGATGTTTTTGCCTGTTGCTTTGCCGTTCCCAAATAAAGGGACTCTTGAAAGCCTTCCCTTTTCCCCCCAGATGAGGTGGTCTTAAAGTTTGACCAGAATCGTGTGCGCATCCGGAATGTGGCCTACGACACCCTTCCAGTTGTGGTCCACGGAAACGGTCCCACTAAGGTGCCCCTGGTGCCCTCAGCCCTTGCTTGTCTCAGGTCCTGGGTACCCCATCCCTCCTGGACCGTCTGGTCCTCCCCACTCCCAGTAGAAGACCTGCCGGGGTAGATGCTGCTCCTTCTTGCTGGATTCTCCCTGTGCTGAGCCCAGCTCGCCTCTCGTCTGTTCCCCGACACCTCCACTTTAGCTACCCCCCCCCCCTGTCTCCACAGCTCCAGCTCAACTACCTGGGGAACTATGTCCCCAATGGCTGGACTCCCCAGGGAGGCTGTGGATTCTGCAACCGGAACCAGAGGACACTCCCGGGGGGGCAGGTGAGGAGAGACGTGATGTAGGGCAGCCTCCATTGCGGAGCTCCTGGGCATCCCACCCTGGCCGAGTGGGCAGCGGCTGGTGGGGGCTACGGGGCAGAGAGAGGCCCGGGCTTCTGTGAGCCTTGTCCTGTGGTGTCCCCAGCCTCCCCCCCGGGTGCTTCTGGCCGTGTTTGTGGAGCAGCCTACGCCCTTCCTGCCTCGGTTCCTCCAGCGACTGCTGCTCCTGGATTACCCCCCGGACAGGATCTCTCTTTTCCTTCATAATAACGTGAGCTATGGGAGACCCCACCCCCCACCCCCGCACGGACGCCCTGCATCCTGCACCTCTTCCCGTCTGCCCTCCCCTGACTGCATCCCTCATGGACCCCCTCTCCCTGTCCCGTCTTCAGGAGGTGTACCATGAGCCTCACATTGCCGACGCCTGGCCACAGCTGCAGGACCACTTCTCAGCAGCAAAGCTAGTAGGCCCAGAGGAAGCGCTGAGCCCAGGGGAGGCCAGGGACATGGCCATGTGAGTGACTCTCCCTGAGCCTTCACATTCCACTCCCCTGCCTCATCATCTGCCGTAGACGGTGGAGCCCCTGGGAAGGAGACACCGACTCTCGTCCTCGTCTCGGGGGTGGGAGAGCCCCCCTCATCCCACCATCCCCGTTGGCCTGCCTCCATGCCCCATGTGGCTCATCTCCCCATTTTGTGGGTCTTCCACTCCAGGGATAGCTGTCGGCAGGACCCCAAGTGCGAGTTCTACTTCAGCCTGGATGCTGATGCTGTCCTTACCAACCCCGAGACCTTGCGCATCTTGATTGAACAAAACAGGTGACCAGCCCCACCCATCCGTGGAGCCCCAGGACATGGTCCTGTCCCCTCTCGTTCACTTCCCTCTGCCCATCCTTCACCTCTGTTTTATCCACAGGAAGGTAATAGCCCCCATGCTTTCCCGCCATGGCAAGCTCTGGTCCAACTTCTGGGGTGCCCTGAGCCCCGATGAGTACTATGCCCGCTCCGAAGACTACGTGGAGTTGGTGCAGCGGAAGCGAGTGTGAGTTCCCCCACCCATATGTGCCCTGCCGGTGCCAGAGCCTTCCCTGGGTCCCCACTCCGTGGCATCCTCTGTGGTCATTAGGCCGCAGCTGTGGGTCGGGATTGGTAACCGATTGCGTGGTTATATTGTATCAGTGATGTGATGGCTTCAGGCCCAGGGTTCTGGGGTCCCCTGAGGGAAGGAGCCTCTGCGATGAACAAAGTGTAATCTGGGGGGTTGTCCGTCTGGCTGATCATACCTCGTGTCGGCAGGGGCGTGTGGAACGTGCCCTACATATCCCAGGCATATGTGATCCGCGGGGAGACCCTGAGGACGGAGCTGCCCCAGAAGGAGGTATTCTCT